TGCGGGTGTTTTGCAGGGCCCCTCGCTGCTTCCCGGGGCACGTGCGGGGGCCAGCCCGCAGGCAGCGTCCCAGGGGGATGTGCTTGCCATGGGCAAGGGATTCCCCAGCATCGCAGCCCTCGTGCATGGGCAGGGCAGGAGCGGGCATCACCTCCCCAGCTCCATGTCCTTTCCCTGCAGTGCCTCCCACCTCCCGCTCCGGCACCGAGCCCAAACGCTTGGCTCAGACCTCATCGCGGCTGCGGTTGGTCCCTCCTTGAAAAGCCCATGCTAGAGGGGCCGTGGCTAGGGAGAACCTTGCTGGGGACGTCAGCGAGGAGTAGGAATGGGCCTGGCGGTGACGTGTCCTCGGGGTGGACTGATGTGAATCAGTAATTTAAACCACTGATTTTGATCGTGACTAAGATGAGGAAGCAGGAAACCTGTTGAGATAGAGCTTGCCAAATGTCATCTTCTTTTGCATTTTTATTTTCTAGTGGTTATCCCCAAAGGAAGCTTGCTTAGGAACGGTTAAATCACGCTGCTGAGCGCTGACCATACTCAGGCTTTATCAGCTGGCAGAAGCCACATACCTGCGCTGTTCTCCAAGCAGCCTGGCACCACGCAGCCGCTCGGGCTCTTTTTCCTTATGCGTTTCTTACACCAGATTATTTTTTATTTATTGGCTTCTTCATATCTTAGTTGTTTGTTGACCTATGCCATGGGCATTGGCTTTGGTCACTGAACCCTGCAGCACCTCCGGTCTGGTCGGGCTCAAGGCTTCATGCTCACTTGCACTCAGAGGTTAGAAGAGGAAAACAAATCTCCTGGTGCCTCGTGCCCTCGGCAGTGTCACGGCTCGGGGAGATGCAGTCGCTGGGCTGGGACCAGCACGACCAGCACAATGTTCCCTTTGGCAGAGCCAGCCCCATGGGACCACCGCTGGCACCAGCGCTCGGAGGCTCAGGGTTTGCTACCAGCTGTTTTTCCCTCCTGGTTCTGAGAAAACAGAGCAAGTTCCTCCCACTGTTAATGTTTGATCAGGACCTGCTTGTTGCTCTCTGAACTCATCCCCGTAATAAAGCCAGGCAGCTGCCGGCACTGGCCGCAGCGGGAAGGAAGCTGCAGGGTGTTTGATGAGAGCCCAAAGCTGCAGCTCAGCCCACAACTCAAACAGAGAGTGTAGAGGTGCGTGTGGCGCGGAGGGGCCAGTCCCGCGGCCACCCGCCTGCCCGTCTGCCTGCTGATTCATTTATGATCATCTCTGTAAACTCAGGGATGTCTCTCTGTAAACTCAGGGATGTCTCTCCAGGAGAGGCTCTGCAGGGGGAAGGTGGATCAGCTCAGGTGACCCCACGGATACACCCTACGGGATATTCCTGCCAACGGCGCTTGCCACGAGAAGCCATCAGGCTGCGTATCTCCGTGAAGGCAAGGGGCAAACAGGAGGGGGATGATGAGGGAGCCAAGGGATGAGGGAACCAAGGGATGAAGGAGCCTGAGATGACGCAGCCTTCCACCCGTACCACGGACACCAGCATCCCGCTAAGGCGCATCGTCTCCCTGAGCCATGAGACCTCCTCCGTCCTGGTGCCCATCACCTCCTGGGTGAGCTCTGGACCCACAGAAACTGGAGACACACCAGCGCTCCCTCCATCAGATACGGCTTTCGGCTGCACCCTCGTCTCTGCCTGCAGCACGGCAGATGCTCCTGCTCCCAGGTTACTCATCCGAGCATCCATCCTCGGCCGGCAGAAGCAGCCGCTCCGAAATCATTCCTCCAGGGATCATGGCGGGCACGGAGGGGCCGAGGCAGGGGGAACCTTCAGAGAGCTGGTCCTTTGTTGGATACCACAATGGCAGCAGAAACTCCCTCTTCCCTCTGGAGGAGTGGGCTCTGAACTTTAGACAATCCCGAGAGGCGAACGCAACCCTTTGACAGCTCGCCCTCACACCTCAGCCCCGGGGCCCGATTTGCCAGGAGGATGCGGATCCCAGCCTTTGATCCTAACAATGTGCGAGGGGAAACGTCCTGCCTGCCTTGTGAACTTGCACTGTCTTGGGCTGGGACTTGGCTTCGGCGCAGCTCCTCTCCGCGGGGCTTAGATCATCCCTCTCCTACGGAGAATACCCGGCAGCTGGAGGCCCCTCGCCGTCCAGGGACACTCTCTCCCAAAGGCTCCTTTAACAGCCCCCCGAGGATTTCTCCAGGCCATAATATTCCCCCAGACAAGCCTTTCTTCTCCTCCCGCCTTTCTTCTGTCAAGGAGCCCTCTGGGACGAGCAGCATTGTCAGGATGGTGCCAATTAGGCTGAGCCAGCTTCCAAGAGGCTGCGCTGGCACCGGCCGGGGGCTGCTGTTGCTCATAAAGGTCTCATTGTTCGGCGCGCCGTGGGGCTGCTGGCCGGCGGGGCCGGCGCGGTCCTCTGTCTCAGGCACGCTTCCCGGCTCCATGCGGCGCTGGTGTCACTGCGCGCTGCTCAAAGGGATGATTAACGGGTGTCATTGCGGGGGCTGCGAAGGGGAGGATTTGTCAAGTCCCCCTCGGCTCCCCGCGAGGCCCAAACGCGCGAGCTGAGAAAAACCAGAGAACCATCAAAGTGGCCGGAGCTCCTGGAGGGGGGGAAAATCTGGCATCTTTGGCTCCCTTCCACGCTTTGTGCCTGACAATGGTTGGGATCAACGACTAATGTGCTTTTATTAACTGCTCCCCTAGATCTGGCTCGGAGAACATGGCCACTTCAGTGAGGACGTTCCCAGTTGCCCTGTGGACACCGACGCCGGCTCCCTGGCCAGGAGAAAACACCACCGCGGTGGCGGAGGCAAAGTGTGTCTTCAACGAGGAGTTCAAGTTCATCCTGCTGCCCATCTCCTATGGCATCGTCTTCGTGGTGGGGCTGCCCCTCAACTCCTGGGCCCTGTGGATGTTCATCTCCAGGATGAGGCCCTGGAATGCCACCACCACCTACATGTTCAACCTGGCCGTCTCCGATACGCTCTACGTCCTCTCCCTCCCCACACTGGTCTATTATTACGCTGACCGCAACAACTGGCCCTTCGGGAAATGGCTCTGCAAGATCGTGCGCTTCCTCTTCTACGCTAACCTCTACAGCAGCATCCTCTTCCTGACGTGTATCAGCGTCCACCGCTACATGGGCATCTGCCACCCCATCCGCTCCCTGAAGTGGGTGAAGACCAAGCACGCCCGCATCATTTGTGTGAGTGCGTGGCTTGTTGTCACCATCTGCCTCATCCCCAACCTCATCTTTGTCACCACCAGCTCCAAGGGCAACAGCACCCTGTGCCACGACACCACCAAGCCCGAGGAGTTCGACCATTACGTGCACTACAGCTCCTCCGTCATGGCCCTCCTCTTCGGGGTCCCCTTCCTGGTGATCGTCCTGTGCTACTGCCTGATGGCCAAGAGACTCAGCAAGTCCAGCTTCACCAGCCCTGGCCCCCGAATGCCCTCCTTCAAGAAGCGCTCCATCAGGATGATCATCGTCGTGCTCACCGTCTTTGCCATCTGCTTCGTACCCTTCCACATCACCCGGACCATCTACTACACCTCCCGCTACTTCCAAGCTGACTGCCGGACCCTCAACATCATCAACCTCACCTACAAGATCACGCGGCCCCTGGCCAGCATCAACAGCTGCCTCGACCCCATCTTGTACTTCATGGTTGGGGACAAGTACCGGGGGCGGCTGCGCCGGGGGCCAGGCCAGCGCCTCCGGTCCACGCCCACGTGTGACCTGGCCCTGGTATCCCCCTCCACAGACAATGTCGTGGGTGGC